ATTACTCTCGCGAACGTGAAAATAACGAGCCGAATGAATTATTAATGCGCCGACCGGCGAGGCGCGCAACGTACGTATAGGTTCTAACAGACATCATACATTTGAGTGAGATTGCGATACGCGATCCACTTTGTCCGAATCATCGGGTTTCGCCAGCCTATTTCGGCCAATCAAGTCATTTAATTTAATCTATCTAATGTCCTGAATGCAGTACAGGGAGAAAAAAAATTTGTTGAAAAACGCAAAATTTGTTTTACTTTACCAAAATATTTATTCCGATACGTTCAACTATACAAACGTTACCACGATGACGCAAAATAATTTGTTACGATTATAAACAAAAAACTATTTTTTTACTAAACTATTTTGTTTCAACAAAAATTTATCGTATTTAACTCAATCGTTCGATTAAAAATATACACTCTATTTATTATCCCCACATCAGTATCGTTTAGTCAGTTTTGATATTTGGAATTTGAACAAATATCTTACTTGGATAACTAAATAGCATGCAAACACAAATAAATACTGCTAGTATTTTGGATAAAATAATTTTATAGAGTTGGTTTAGTTAATTCTTCATTAAAAAATGTTTATGGTTGAAATGAATGAACTATACTTTTCTTTGTGCAACTAAAAAATTGTTGAATCAACCATTGGATTAAACAACTATACAAATTTAGTTAGTACAATCCATTTTTTTTCTTAGTGTAAAATCACCCATAATATAGCTTAAATTGTACTCTCAATAATTATACCTTTTAGTGCTTTCAAGTATTAAAAAGGTATCAGGGTATGGGTAGTACATTAAAATAATATTTTTTAATACTTTAAGAGGATATATGAAATGACTTTTTTTTACTATATACAATAATTTTTTAATAAATATTTTTATGGAAACTTACAGACAATCACATAAAACAAATTATATGATTAAATCTATTGTTTTATGTCAGCAATTTTAGATCTTTATAATTATTAAAATACAATAAAAAATAATAGGCCAGAACCGAGCATAAAAGGATGGTCAATAAATTAAATTAAATCATGCAAAAGTCATGTTAAAAGCATGTATTCAATAATATTCAAACAAGTTTCGACTTTATACTTAGTCTTCCTCAGCGACATTAAACAAATTAATCAATTAAGCTAGTCCATAAATAACACCAATAAAAAACGTACATTACATGTTAAATCTATAGTGATAAACTGAACCTTATAAAGTATTAAGTTGCCACTGCTCCTATTTAATAAATAGTTATTTTTTACTAATACAATGGAGTTAAATAATTTAAAACAGTTCAAATTTAACCCAAATTTGGGTTAAATTCTATTGTTTTATTTAAAAGTAATTATATTGTTTCAGTTAAAAATAACTATTTATTAAATAAGAGCAATGGTGACTTAAATAAGGTTCAGTTTGACACAATAGATTTAACAGTGTATTAATAAAATCAAACATGTTATTTTATAATTTTTTCCATTTATTTTATAATTATTGATGAAAATATTTTGTGACAAAAACATTATTGACTTTTTATTTATATCAGTTGATCAGCTTTAATTTCAATAAATCTATTCGCATCCGCCATAAAATAACGTTACCCTTTAAAAATCTGTTAGATTCTTCAGTGAGGAAGGCGCGACAAAGCGCGGTGCCTCGATGCCTTCGTAATTACGCGGAATCCTGAGCTCTCGACGTAATAAAACTTAAATAGAGCGCGACAAGGGGGAATCCAGACGAGAAACTTGATGGATGGGAACGTCCATTCGGATGGAGATGCAATAAGACCAAACCCCTTCTACGAGACTTCACAACAAGCAGGGTCGACATCTAGCACGATGTTCTCTTTAGCTTCTTCCGCGGCGTTGATTTATTTTCCTATCCCTTATCAAGCGGGTCAGCCACCGTGCTCTCCGATCACGGTGTAAAGGCTAATGAGATTTGTTTGCAACGAATGCAGTCGTAAGAATAAGGCTATATAAAGCTACAGTTTCCCGATTGCCATCCTTGGCGCTTGATTTATTTGCTTGTTGTCATGTTTCCTTAATCATAACTAAAGTCGTTAAATAAATCCATCGAGTTTTATCGAGGCTCTCTTTGAAAAATCGTGAAACATTTCTTCTTTGATTCTTTATATATTTACAATTCTCGTTTCGATTAATTTTACAGAATTTATTTAATAATTGATTTAATAATTTCTGATGGTTAAATAAATTCTCAACATTGCTTTTTTTCATGATGTTTTATAATAATTCTTACTCTTTGCGTTCACGTACGGAAATAAAGAAATAAAAAGGATCGGAAGGATCGGAAGGGGCGACGCGGATCACTCAATCGCATTCGCGAGCACTTATGATCAAAATCCGACGATAGAAATGAAATTAATACCCATGTCAAAACGTGCTCGGGCAAACATCGAAGCAGACCGAGATCCGCTTTAATTAGATTTCCATTTCAGTTCGCCGGCTATTTGCGAACAACACACCTCGTTTCGGGTATTCATGCCCACTTTATGCACCGTTAATAAATAGATACGCGCACGGTCGGCGGGTATTGTGCCACTACGTGAACTCTAACCGTTCCCGTGACGATATGTATTGATTACAGTTTCAGTTTTGCTAATAATCGCACCGTTATTCGCGCCGTCATTTTCAGCGTCGATAATCGACGTAATATCACAATACTAGACGCTAAAGACACTTTTACGGATTGATTTCAGTACTTTAACAAAGAGTTCGACAGAAATACTATCAATATTAAATACTCGTATTATCCATAATGGAGATTATAATGTGTGAATATATCAAACGAAATAAAAACATAGATTACATTATTTCTAGTAACTCGGCCTGTTATTTATATTTTAAATTATCAATTAACTTAAATAGAGTGGCCCCCCGTATAAGTGGCCACCCCTTTTTATCTCCTAAACTAACAGAGATAGACCTAATAAGTATAATATCAAATTAAACACTCTAACTAAACTTTATTGTAGGCACAATGATCATTTAGAAATATTATCTATGTTAAAGAGCGGAAAGACATGATTAATTTTTGCACGGTAAAGTGACAATTTTAATATGATAAAAGTTGTAGCGTTCTTTTTAACGAATACAACGATGTATGATATAACGAAATTATTTTACAAATTATAAGAGTTATTTTGGTTTAAAGTTCTGCGGGTGGCTACTACCTTTTCAATTTCGGCCCTGCGGTGTGGCCAATTTCCGACTCTTGTACTGATGAGAGTATTATGTATAATCAAATGTCTATGATAAAAACATTACACGTCAATTGTTAACGCGAAAGTCGGAAGTTAGCCACACCGCAGGGCCAAAACTGAAAAGGTAACAGCCGCCAGCAAAACTTGAAGCCAAAATAATTTGTATAATTTGTAAGATAATGTTGTTATATATCACACATCGTTGTATTCGTTGAAAAGAACGCTACAAAACTTTTATCATATTAAAATTGTCACTTTACAAAAAGTGCAAAAATTAATTATGTGAGTATCAAACGAAGGGCTAGTGAGCCTTGCACGGAGTTAGTGCTGAGATTACATATATTTAACACAATAATTTACACCCAAACGTTTTCGGCTCCGCATTGAGCCGTCTTCAGTGGGTAAAAAATATAAAATTTTCCTTTATACGTTACATTAGCACTTTTGTTCTTTCGCTCGCTCGTTTGATACTCCTTTAATTTTTAATTATATGAGCCAGATAGATATATTATAATTAATTATGTCTTTTCGCTCCCTAACATAGATAATATTTTTAAGTGATTACTGGGCTTACAATAAAGTTTAGTCAGAGCCGTCTAATTTGATATTACAAGTATATTTATTAGGTCTATCTCTATTAGTTTACGAGATAAAAGGGGTGACCACTTATACGGAGACACTCTGTATAAGATGTAAGAAATACAAAAAAATTTTTTTTTCTAAGTGATCTTTAATTTTTATTAAAGAATTCGATTTTTTTACATTGCTTATATTAACTTTGAATATTCTGCATAATATAAAAGAACTAATTTTTCTATTTATTAGATACATGAATTCGTGTTATTTATAGTCAAATATTTTATTTGAAGAACTTTTCAAAGAATTATTGAATTTAATTAAGAGATTATTACACGCAATTTAATGTAATATGTATTTAAGTACAGTTCTGTAATAAATTAGTATCTTGACTGAGAAAATACAGATCAAGATCCACGTGGCGATATACCGGAAGTACAGTACCGGAAACATACAATGCACTTTGAGCTCCGCGTAACATTGATTAATTAATATCATCGGGTAACCTACTTTCGCTAATTGTTGGACCAAACGTAGTACATGTGCGATCGCTAATTAACACGAATCTGCAGCTTATAATTGTCACATGTGCCGCAACAAAACAGGAAACTTTTTAGCGCCAAATATCGTTCTGATTATCTAATACACTTATTACCGAACACTTCATAGAATTGATTTTCAATGATTTAAAATAAGTACATTCGCGTGATTGTTTCTGAATTATTGCGACGCGAAATATACTATCAGAGATGCAAAATTCAATTTTTAATCATGCATTCAATAAAAGTATCATTTTTTAAATTTTGTCAAGAAATATTGAAAGCATTGAGGAGGTTTCTAAATGAAACTTAGAGAAACTTAATTTACGAAGTATTAAAAACTTTATACTTAGAAACGATGTTATCTTATCCTCATTAAATTCTATGATCGATTTATATTCGAGAAAATTAAAAAGTATCGAGTCTTTTCCTAATCTAATACAACACAAGATCGCGAAGGGCCTTAAGCGGCGTCTACAATGAGACTTAAGACTTGAGATTTCAGAAAATTGACCAATATTACCATCGATTATTCTTCTCACGTGAAATGAATAATCGACTATATGATTGGTCAATTTTCTTAAATCTTAAGTCTTAAGTCTCATTGTAGACGCCGCTTTAAATAAGCAAGGTCTGCTAATACTGTGGTTGGACTCACGTGTGCAATCACGGATGGATACTGTGGGTAGAGCAGGAAGGCGCCGACGAGATGGGCGGCCGAGAAGACGATCCCGGCGATGCAGGCGTGCCTGAGTCTGATCGGCAGAAGGGCGTAGGCCATGTAGATGAAGAAGCAGACCGTCAAGGCGGCGGCGAGGGGTCCCCCGGTTCGAAGGTCCTTCGACTTCGAGTATGACGTATCGCCGGTACTCTCGCGGCCCACCTCGTGCAGCCGCGCCAGATGAATGCTCAGGGTCACCTGCAGCGCCAGCAGGGTGACCAGCACCGCGCCACTGACACCCGCCAGCCATATCTCATTCATGCCTGGTCTGGAGATGGCAGCCACTAAAACTGAAAGAAAATTTCTCGCTTGTTACCGGACTCTTACGTCTCACAAGGAAACCTCGCGAAGTGTCAAATTCTGATTTTGATGAAACTTGATACACTTTGACTTGATACACATAAATAAATGAATATAGAAATTATTAGTTGGTGTTAAAAAACGGTTTAAAGGGATGAAACCATCCCTTAAATATAAATTAATTTTAATAAGAAAAATAAAAATAAATTTTTTCTATTAAACAGACAAATTGAAAGCTACAGTGTTTAGTAATTAATTCAGTAATAAACAAATTTTCTTAAAGGCACACTAATAGGGACACTTACCCTATCTGCCATTAAACCAGTGGTCATTATAGAGTATTAAACTGGGCATAACAACAATTATGATACGCTTTATATAATAATTTCAAATTCAGTTATTTTAAATCCGTTATTTTAATTTTGTAATTCTGTTTCTAGATTCGCAATCAACAACCTCGAAAACTGTATAGTAATAATTTTCAAGCCATTTCTGAAGTTTTCGCATTTCAATTGAAGATACTGTAAGAATATTAGTGATTTTTGTGATTTTCATGCAGACACTATATTTAAACTGTCATATTAAATTTTTCAAAATGTCACGTTCCATTCGAAACTACATAAGTATAGAATATTTTGAGACCTCAAACATTTTTTTCCATTGTGTTAAATTATGGAAGGAGAAGTGGACCCGCTTAAGGGATCAGCCCACTCTTGTTTTTAAAATAATACCTTAAGGGATTTTTGAGATTTTTTGTGGGTAAATGGATAATTTTATTTAAAATCTGCTTAGAGGATTTTATTGTACATATATAAGAAACCAAAAAAATATTTTTTTATTTTTCTTATGTCCAAAATGGCAACGCACTGGCCTTCATTTGCGAAATCCCTTTTTTTCTATCGGTGTACAGGATTCCAGGTTTGACTTTGAACAAAACACAAAGAATTTTCATTATCTATATATTAAAGACTAGAGAGATACGTAGGGATTTTTCAAAATATTTATTTTTCTCAAAATGGCAGCTATTTTACGAAAGACTTGTAATGATAAAAATATAAACTTTTCGTAAAAATAGCTGCTATTTCGAGAAAAATCAATATTTTAAAAAACCCCTACGTATTCCTCTAGTCTTTAATATGCAGATAAAAATTTTTTGTGTTTTGTTTAAGAGCAAACTGTGTGCTTGGAATCCTGTACACGAATTTGAAAAAATAGAAAAAAGAGATTCCGCAAGTAGGCTATTGCGCCGCCATTTTGTGCATAAAAAAATAAAAAAATATTTTTTTAGTTTCTTATATATGTACAATAATGTCCTCTAAACAGCTTTTAAATAAAGTTATCTATTTACTCACAAAAATCCCGAACTTAGGTATCATTTTAAGGCCTCAGGGATGGGCAGACCCCTTAACGTGAAACGTTTCATATACGAATGAATTTCAAGAAAAATCATTTTTCCGCGAATTCGAAACTTCTTTTTTTTGTCTAAATCCGCGGGAGGGTCGAAATGTTCATTATTTATCGCAGGCTTTCCAAGTTTCCTGCACATTATACATTCCACATAAGTAAGCTTCTTCAGATAGAAACTCGATTAAAGTTACGGGTGCGACCTTGCTCGGTCTAAGCTCGTCCTCATGGACGAAAGGAAAAGGTATAATACCGGAGGAATGAGCTTTGCTAGTTGTTGCGACGCGAAAAGCGGATCTCTCGTTGCGCGTTCTGACGCGCTTTCGAAAAGGAAACAGCACTTGTAGACAATATTCTCATGCATTATTGATACCGGGACCTCCGTGAAACATCGAGGTTCACGGAAAACAGCGACTGTACGTAGGTGATAGAACAGAATGCACGTCTTTTAGCGACGTTCGTGACATTTGACTACAGAGCTATTTCGATGCAATTCCAGTAATGTTCAAACTGCATATTTTATGAAAGCTCGAGATTTCCTTGTAAATAGGTTTCCGACGTGATATATCAACGTTGGACGATTAGATTTTTTTTCTCGCAGATATTTAAAGCGACTTGGATTTGAGTTTTCCTTCGATAAAAGGAAACACGGAGGTTTATCGACAGTTTCAAAAATTTTTTGACATAACTATAATGTTAATACAGTTAAGTTTTTATGTACATATATACAAAAAGTGGTTTAATTACGAATAGAAATCTTGAAAGAATTTCTTAATGGAATTTTATAATTGAAAATAATTCTGAAAATAAATTTTAAATCAATTCAGGAAAACGGAAAGAGAAATTATATTTTAAAAACTTTTTAAATTTCAAAATAATACTTTAAATGAATTTCTTAAACGGGTACAAAGTTAGTACCGTCAGATAAATGTGAAGTAACTGCAAACTTAATTCTGACATCTCGTACTTATCGCCGTGAAACGTACACAGTAAAAAACATTTTGTATTTGGAAACGGTCCACTCACGTCCTTATTAAAATTTTGTGTCGAATTTTTAACATATTTGCTATTAAATTAACATAATGTAATTATGTTATTTAAATATTTTGTGTTAAATTGATATTCAATATTTTTCAGTGTCAAAATAGTACAATTTATAAGCAAGTGGATAAATAACATAAAAATAAAGTAGTGTTAAATCGTAAATTTTAAAATAAGTGAATAAAAGATAAATATACTTGTTAATTTTACATGTTATAAGTGTTAATTTTACTAAAAAATAATGTTTCCACAATTTGTTTCCAAATTGTATTAAAGTGTTACATTTTTTGTATTAAATTTTTACATAATGTTTATGTTACTTTCTAACAGGATTGGGTAGTGCCTAGTTAAAAAGATAAAAGTTAAGTTAAAAAGTTGAAAAGTTAAATAATTTTAACTTAACTTAGTTACATTTTAGGCTCTTAACTTTTAACTTAATTTAGTTACATTTAATCGGTAACTATTAACTTTTGATCTAA